CCACATGCCTAACAGACCATCAGACCCTTCACAGGGAGGAGTAGAGGTCTTTCAAGCATAATAACAACACAAGCTATTCCCCTGCACCGCAGCCCAACCATGACTAGCCGGCTACCACCTGGTTACTCAACCCTGCACCTTAGAGGCTGCTGCCCTATGTACATAGACATGGAATCACTGGTCATGTTAATAATGGAACACTGGTCACTTTAATCATGTTTACATTCTGCTTTACTCATTTCATTTGTATATACTGTATTCTAGTCAATGCTGACCGTCATCTCTAATGATACCTCTGGCCAACACAGAGGCTGACCGTCATCTCTAATGATACCTCTGGCCAACACAGAGGCTGACCGTCATCTCTAATGATACCTCTGGCCAACACAGAGGCTGACCGTCATCTCTAATGATACCTCTGGCCGACACAGAGGCTGACCGTCATCTCTAATGATACCTCTGGCCGACACAGAGGCTGACCGTCATCTCTAATGATACCTCTGGCCGACACAGAGGCTGACCGTCATCTCTAATGATACCTCTGGCCGACACAGAGGCTGACCGTCATCTCTAATGATACCTCTGGCCGACACAGAGGCTGACCGACATCTCTAATGATACCTCTGGCCGACACAGAGGCTGACCGTCATCCCTAATGATACCTCTGGCCAACACAGAGGCTGACCGTCATCTCTAATGATACCTCTGGCCGACACAGAGGCTGACCGTCATCTCTAATGATACCTCTGGCCGACACAGAGGCTGACCGTCATCTCTAATGATACCTCTGGCCAACACAGAGGCTGACCGTCATCTCTAATGATACCTCTGGCCAACACAGAGGCTGACCGTCATCTCTAATGATACCTCTGGCCAACACAGAGGCTGACCGTCATCTCTAATGATACCTATGGCCAACACAGAGGCTGACCGTCATCTCTAATGATACCTCTGGCCAACACAGAGGCTGACCGTCATCTCTAATGATACCTATGGCCAACACAGAGGCTGACCGTCATCTCTAATGATACCTCTGGCCAACACAGAGGCTGACCGTCATCCCTAATGATACCTCTGGCCAACACAGAGGCTGACCGTCATCTCTAATGATACCTCTGGCCAACACAGAGGCTGACCGTCATCTCTAATGATACCTCTGGCCAACACAGAGGCTGACCGTCATCTCTAATGATACCTATGGCCAACACAGAGGCTGACCGTCATATCTAATGATACCTCTGGCCAACACAGAGGCTGACCGTCATCTCTAATGATACCTCTGGCCAACACAGAGGCTGACCGTCATCTCCTTGTCTACCCTCTTATAGCATTAGACAGGCCTAGACTATAAAAAGCAAAGAAACACAACAGCCTGATATTAGGTTAATGCAGTCACAATAATTTGATATGTGACAAAAATAGCTCCTCCACCTGTTTTCATGATGACACCAATCACATGCTAGGTTACCCCGGGGATGGGCATGGACTTTGGGTCCTCCCTGAAGGAACTGATATTCCATACGCATACAGTATTCCATCATAACCATGAATAGCGCTGGGAGTTCACATGCACAACATAGGAGCGGTAGGGGCAGTGGTGGAAAAAGTACCCAATTGTCATACTTGAGTAAAAGTAAAGATAGCTTAATAGAAAATGACTCAAGCAGGGGCGGTGTGTTCAATAGGGCGATATGGGCGACGCACTGCCAAACGGGAAAAGGAAGGGATTTTTTTTCTAATCAATTATATCACGGCAACAGTAGTTATCAGTGTTGTAATCTAGACGTCTGATCTGCCACAGTGCCACTAAATGTCCAATCAGGCTAAAGTCGTGCTTCAAATGGCCCCCCCCCCTTTTGGGGCGATTTCAGTCAGGTTGAAAATCGCCCAGAAGTCTGTCATAGACTCCCATGTAAAATCTATTTTTTTCAAATATCAGAGCTTTCAATACAATCTCTATGGGTTTCTGAGGGCTTGCACTTACGCGCTTTCGTCATACGTAACGTAACCATGAACGTAACTAAGAAAAGAGCGGGTAGCCTCATCAATCAATTCACGTACTACTATCAAGATGGCTATAGCGTTCAGTGCAACTCGATTGTCTCTTTGAAATAAGTTACTTTTTGTCGGCGAACAAATCAAGATAAATTGGCAACGAAACAATTAGGACCTCCCAGACCAAATTTTATAATTCAACAGGTTTCTACTAAAGGGGGGAAGTCCTACACCCGAGGATTTTCCAAAAATTGGTACGAACGAAAAACCTGGCTAGCAGGCTGCGATGTAGCTAATGCAGTCTTCTGCTACCCCCTGCTTACTCTTTCACCCTGAAGGCGGCACGGCAGACAGCACCGCTTGGACAGCGACTGGTGTGTAACGGACATGCACCATCTTTCAGGAAAGATTAAGAAACATGAGCTGTCAAAGACCCACATGGATAGCTGTTTGAGATTGTCTGCTTTGGGGAGAGTGAACATTCCCACTCAACTGGATGAGGGATACAGGCTAGCTGTCCGCCGCCACAACGATGAGGTTAGTGTTGATAATCACAAGTTTACTGGAGAACTGAAACTGACAAGGCTGACAAGATAGGACCCTTTTGTCCATTGTTATTGGATAGGAACAGAACTTATAACCAGCTCCTGACCTAAATAGATCTTAGCACAACATTTTACTCAACATATCATATTCCATATTCACTATAACAAATATATTTACTACGACATTAGCAAGAACCGCCACATCCTCAGCCGGCTAATCCAGTGTGTGAAGTTTTGCGGAGTGTTTGAGTTAGCTTTGCGAGGCAAAGATGAAACTGAGGGCTCCACCAACCCTGGTAAGCCAACACTTTTGAGATCAGTCAATAAATGCTTCTGGTATTGACTTATATGCTGCCCCTGTCTTCATGTTGTTGCTGGACATATCTTTTTTAAAACGTGTGTAGGTCACCTAAATCATCAGAAAAATTGCCCCCCCTGAGAATTTTTTCAGGAGCCGCCACTGGACTCAAGTAAACGTGAAAGTCACCCAGTAAAATCCTACTTGAGTAAGTCTAAAAGTATTTGGTTTTAAATATACTTAAGTATCAAAAGTAAAAGTATAAATCATTTCAACTTCCTGATATTAAGCAAACCAGACGGCACCATTTTCTGTTTTTTATTTATTTATGGATAGCCAGGGGCACACTCCAACACTCAGACATCATTTACAGATAGCCAGGGGCACACTCCAACACTCAGACATCATTTACAGATAGCCAGGGGCACACTCCAACACTCAGACATCATTTACAGATAGCCAGGGGCACACTCCAACACTCAGACATCATTTACAAACAAAGCATGTGTTTAGTGAGTCAGGGGCAGTAGGTATGAGCAGGGATGTTCTCTTGATAAGTGTGAATTAGACCATTTTCCTGTCCTGCTAAGCATTCAAAATATAACAAGTACTTTTGGGTGTCCACACACAGAAAATCTACACTTCATACGACCCCTACCCAGTGGTGTAAAGTCCTTAAATAAAAATACTAGAAAGTACTACTTAAGTAGTTTTGGGGGGTATTTGAACTGTACTTCACTATTTATATGTTTGACAACTTTGAATTCACTACATTCTTAAAGAAAATAATGTACTTTTTACTGTTACAGAGATAAACTGCCAAGTCATTCTGTCCATTGGCTTGGTGTATTTTATCTTAAACTGCCCTTTGGCACAACAATACTATCAACATGACGTAGATGGTACTACGCTAACATCTTGCTTCTTTATCCGTCCAGGGCCAAGGATTGCCCAACAGCCAAGGTTATTCCCTTCATTTAGAAGGTGGATGTGAAATGGATGTGCATTGATCAGTCTTACTTACGGACTACTATAATGAAACATCAACACCATCCCTGGAATAGTGAAGAGTCAGGCCTTGGCCATTCTAAATTCATTGTCCATTCCCTTCATAAAAAGCCCCATTACTTTCCAATGCGTCACATTCCCAATGTGTAGTAAAATGACTTCCCTTCTGGGCCTAACAAATGCAAGCATGCTCCCTGTCCTTATTAATAAATCCAATATCCACAAATCACATTTTGACTGTAGTTTAATTTATTAAAAAGACCAAGGTGCAAATATATATAAAAAAAATACAACATAATTTAAGCATTTAATACAAACAATATAAGCTATTCCAGTCCCTCTTGACATGTAAGACACTGACTCAAAATACTTGGTTATAGTGTATTTTTATAAAGTATTGCACAATGTAGGTACAAAATTAATACTTATACAATTACATTTTTTGTACATAATATAGCAAAATCTTTCAAATCTCAAAAGAAAATACAACTCTTGTTGAACACGGAATTCCACCACTAAGCAATACTCTGTACGCAATCTTTAGAATATTTGATGGACTTTAAAGATGGTTTTCACTGACGATTCCTTATATTATTTTTTTCTCTTCTTATTACTAAGGAAAAGCTGCTGCAGCCATCACAGGAGTAGTAGAAATATCTAAATGCACTACCATGTCATAGAAACAATATATACTCTGATATCTTAAAAACTCTGTCCTAAATTAAATTATACAATTAGAAAAAGACCAAGTAACCCCATTTAGTAGTGCAAATTCATACAAATCTGCCATGTCTAAGAGGACAGAACTTGAAGCTTGTATTATTATTATTATTATTATTATTATTATTATTATTATCCATGTTATGGAGTATTTTTTGTGCTAGGTTGGCAACAAGGAAAAGAGAAACAACTATGCATGTTGAATTTAAGTAACCAAGTTTGGACGTGTTTGTTCAACAAGCTTTTAGTAAAAAAACAAAACTCAATGGGGCAGAGAAAAAGCAACCTTGGACACATGCCGCTTCACTAACTAGACAGAAATCTTCTCAGAGGTTCTTTGAAAGTCCAGTTCTTCTTTAAATGTGCGTGTTTTTCCCCACCTTCTAGCCACCGTCGTCATTCATAAATAACATCTTCACGTCGTAGTGTCAGGTTTAGCTAGCCATGACAGGCTGGAAATGCTGGTTCGAATACTGCATGTTGCTGAGGTTGAAGTTCAGCCCATCATTGAGGGACTTGTCGTTGAGACCTCCGTAGGCCGCAAACACGTCAAAGGCATTGTTGTACTGCAGCGGGCTGAGGCTGAGTGAGCCCTCGCTGGGGAAAATTCCACCGGGGCTCCCCTGACCCTGGAGGCTGGGGAACACAAACTCCTTAGCATTAGGAGAGAGTGCAGAGGCATTCTGCTGCTGGCCCAGGCCGTACAGAGAGTACATAGAGGTGGACATGGCTTTCTGCTTCATTAGGGTGTTCACATTCAGCCCCAGGTCGTTGGTGGGGGACGTGCGGGCCACCTTGTTTCCGTTACCATTGTTGTTGTTGTTGCGGCCGGAGATCTTCATCTTGGTGGAGCCGAACTTGGTGGCGGCGAAGGTGGCGGTGGTGAAGGTTATAGGATGGGTGGAACGCGGCATGAAGGAGGGGCTAATGGCCGCAGATTGCCCGAAGGGGGGTGAGGGAGAGCTGGACTCAGAAGAGGTCCCAATAGAGTCACTGATGGGCATGAAGACCTGGGCCTCTGGGTTGAAGCTGTTCTTGATCTCCTTGTCCAGCTCGGACCCGTTGCTCTCAGTGTTATCATCCACGTACAGCACCTTGACCGGCCCCTTCTCGCCAAGCTGGTAGGATACCTCGAAAGGGTCAATCCACACACTAAGGTCCTGAGGGAGATTATCCCGGACGTCGTCCAAGTCCAGGCCGCTCTCCTTGGCTGCCTGCTCCACCACAAGGTCCACCTTCTCCCCTACGTGGAGACACCTGTACCCAGAGCCCTTGTATGGCTTCTCTGTGTACCAGTGGCCCTCGTACTTCTTCTTTAGCTGCCTCTCCAGCTCCTCGCCGAAGATGTTCACGCGCCGTCTGGGGAGTTTGTTGTACAAATAGGAAATAATAAAGTTAAGTGCTACTTGGATTTCAAGCTGCATAGCTACTTCCTGCTTATTAAGTTGGTATTCCTGAGCGTTGCAAAAACCTCTAAGGCAGCAGTAAGCAGTTTGGGCCAAACAGGGAGACAGAGTAAGTGGTAGTTGCTGAAACGATATCCTTCCACAGGGTAGGGTTCCTAAGCCTGGAAGAAGAGAGTGAGGAGAGACACAAATGAACAAAAATATAACAATGCTATTCGGCTAATTATAAAACCGGGTAGTTTGGGTCCTGGATGCTGATTGACATACTACTTGTTTACTGTTCTATTTATGTCGGTAACCAGTTTATAATAGCAATAAGGCACCTCAGGGGTTTGTAGTGTATGGCCAATATACAATAGCTAAGGGCTGTATCCAGGCTCTCTGCTTTGTGTCTTGCATAAGAACAGCCCTTAAATCTGCCATCCCATAATACAACAAAACTGTACGTTCATATAAGTAACATGATAAATGTATGCACACATGACTCGAAGTTGCTTTGGATAAAAGCATCTGCTAAATGGCATATATTATTATGATATTAAATCATATGTTTAGCTCACCGTCGTAAATAGGTTGGCTTCAAATACCTGATTGCATTTACTGTCTAGTACTAAATGTGCTCTGCTGTTCACTTCCATGTCCAGTGCATTGGTATGTCCACCAGGCAGGCTGTACAATATCAATAGCTATAAATAAGGCCTAAACATACTGACTCGCAGACCGAGTCAGCGCTGTGGGTTCCCTAGCGGTCTTCTGGTATTAGTGACAGCTAAAAGCAAGCATAGTTGACCTCTGGACAGTGGTGGCTCATCGCCTTTCAACGCAACTAAAGTAACAATGTAATTAGCCAATGATCCGAAACATTGAATCCTCACCTGATATAGAATATATTTGCGCGATGATACACACTCGCGTCCCTAATTCATTTGATAAGATGAGATGGAATAATAAATGTTGTCTAGCGATGGTAACAGAAGAAACCGTGTCCGTGAACCACCATCGGCTAGAGAATAATGTATTGTTAGAGAGCAGCTGGTGAGCTGAACTATCTGAGAGAAGCCTTGTTACATAATCCACATTGAATTTCTATTCATGGTCATTGAGGCCTTTCTCGTCTAGAAATGACTGGTAACATTAGCTAGCTATATATATATATATATATATATATGAGATCATACAAATGATCAAAACAACGTCCAATCCAAATCCATCGATCAGTAATGTAGCTAACGTTGGCTACCTAGCTACGCACCCAGGGTGTGAGGGGAATGTTGTATTGTAAACAGCAGCTATGCTTACGTTACACCATAGTTTTAACCTGTAATGAAAATACATTAAAGTGATTCACGCTAATCGGATGTGTAACTTAACGTTACAGACTGTTGTCTTGCCCCAAATGTGCCCTTATCCTTCACTGTTATTCAATGACCACCAAGTTAACTAAAAAGCCGTTTCTGGTTGTTAGCTCAAAATAGTTTGATTTAACTTTCTAGCTAGCTAGCTAGATATCCCCGTCAGATATATTAACTAACTAGCTAACGTTACTACTACTAATTAGCTGTGCTAGCTAGCTAACGTTAGCCAACCTATATCCAACCCAAACAAGACGGAGAAAGCGGTTGTAATCATACGTTAGCTTTGTCTCTAGGGATTTGAACAGCGATACAGCTTAATAAATAGCTACCTCGCTAACGACATATTGAAGTAGCTAATGAAGAGGTTCTACTTACATGTAGTTAGCGACAGTTACATAGAAATCCCCACAGGTCCTTGCACTGGACAGCTTAGATGACGAATGACTCTGGCTAGCTTAACTGTTAACTAGTAAAATAACGTTGACACGACGCTTTTCAGCTAACTAGATAGAGACGGTTAGCTACGTCCTTGTTGTACAAACTGTTGTGCTGCAGTATGAATATAAAGGATTATTCTAGTCAGGTTATGCGGATGTTCATTTGCGTTTCCGTCTGAGAGTTTTTTTTTACAACTCTGCGCTTTAAAATTCGGATTGTCTTGTTTATATACGTAGTACTCCGCCACGGACACAAAGTAGGCGGTGATGAGGCGTTCAAGAGGTCGACACTAAATAACGGTATTCCATTGGCCAAACTCGGCCTTCGTCATTCGTGAGCTACTTCATCTTGCATTCCGATTGTCTGTTTAGCATGTCAGTCAACAGCAAAGGGTCTATTTACGGTAGTGGCGAGCTTTTCATGTGTGTTGGGATCACAAGTATCATAATGTTGAAGGTTCTTGAGATAGCTACTGAACATTAATAACAATTTATTCGGTGGTGTATATACTGTATGGGCTCCCGAGTGGCGCAGCGGTCTAAGGCACTGCATCTCAGGCTTGAGGCGTCACTACAGACCCCCTGGTTCGATTCCAGGCTGTATCACAACCGGCCGTGATTGGGAGTCCTATAGGACGGCGCACAATTGGCCCAGCGTCGTCCGGGTTTGGCCGGTGTAGGCCGTCATTGTAAATAACAATTTGTTCTTAACTGACTTGCCTAGTTAAATAAAGGTTAAATACAAATGAATAAAATACTTTGAAAGGGCGATATACTGTCTCAAATATATGAGAGAATAATTTGCTGTAGTTGCTCTGATTATGCCAGCGTGATTATTTCGGAAATGCAATGAGCATTGTGAGATGATGTGCAAAAAAATTATGTGGAGAGGGAAAAGTAGTGCACAGGCAGTTTGGCGGAAGGACACGTCACCGGGTAGGATTGTGCTCTGTTTCGTTATGTACTTCGGGCATTGGCTGTACAGGCTGTAGTTTGCCAATGACATTTTGAAATGCTTTGGCTTGAAGTTACAGGGTTATTCTGACCTCGCTCTCCTAAAAATTAGGAGTAAAAGAGAGGAATGGATATAGTGAAATGAATGGACATTAGAGTTATGCAGATTGGGTCCTTGCTTAGAAAATAGGATATTATGTGTAAGATTAACCTTTTACAGTAGGCTACAGGTGACAGGTTCCTATGATGAAACTTTAAGATCATGGTCTGTGAGACTGTGTGAGTGACTGGTTTTGTTACACAATGGTCAAGCTCTTTCTGTTTGTATCTATGCATCCTAGCACAGCAACTGTGTAGAGCTTAAAGACGTCGTCTAGCGATAAAAAAAAAAAAAAACTTTTACAGTTGAAAGCCATATCCCAAGTATAAATAAGGTGAAGTATACACACTAAAGAGTAAAGAATAAATAAAAAAATACACAACTGCAAACTTCAAGGTGTAGGGCATTCAAAGAGTTGGTCTAAATGGGGATTTGTGATGTCATCGGCCTCCCCCCTTGCTTGAGGAACAATAGAGGAGCAATAGAGAACAAAAGAGGAAAGGGGGTTGGAGCAGGTGGTCAGTCCAGTTCAAGTGTTCAGCAGTCTGATGGTTTGTAGATATAAAACAGGCTCAGAGAAAGTTTCTGTCAGACCTCACGCTCCGACACCGTCTGCCCGACGACAAGGCAGAGAACAACTCGTGGCTGGGGTGTGTGGGGGTCCTTGATGATGCTGCATGCCTTCCTCAGGCACCGTTTCCAGTAGATGTCCTGGATGGGTGGGAGCACGGTCCCAGTGATGTACTGGGCCGTCTTTACCACCCGCTGGAGGGCCTTGCAGTCGTGGATGTAGCAATTTCCGTACAAGGCCGTGATGCAACCAGTCATGACGCTCTCGATGGCGCATCGGTAGTATTTGAAGAGGACCTTGGGTGGCATGGTCATTTTTTAAACCGCCTTAGGAAGTAGAGTCGCTGTTGCGCCATCTTGACAAGAGGGTGGTGTTGTTGGTCCATGTCAAGCCCTCTGGGATGTGAACGCCGAGGAACTTAAAACTTGTTACTTTCTCTACTGCAGTCCCGTTGATGTGGATTGGGGCATGTTACCTCCTCTGCTTCCTGAAGTCAACAATCATCTCCTTTGTTTTGCTGACGTTGAGGGAGAGGTTGTTGTCAAGACACCACAATGCCAGTTCATTTACCTCCTCCCTATAGGTCATTTTATTAGGTTTTTCCAAAATTCCTTACAGTTTAAAATGTTAAAATTCAATCCATCATTAATTTAAAATTCCAAATAATGAACAATAAGTAATCAATTCAAATTAAGCAAACCAAATGGTCCAAGAAAAGCAATCAGAAAAATCTGTCAGTCAATTCAGTCCGTCAGTCAATTCAGTCAGTCAGTCAGTCCACAATGTATGTATCTTTGTTTTGGGGGACAGGAAGGGGCGGGGTCTATGCTGGCAGTTGCTGAAAAGAGGTGACAGTTGTGGTTGGTCGCTGCAGTGTCCAGGGTTGGTGATGTGGCTGGGATCGGGAAAACCTGGGTTGGTACTGGAGTTGGGGCCGGGCCGGGACTGGAAGTCGTGCTGGGACCAGGACTGGAGACCAAGGGTTGGTGTTAGGGACCGGGGGGAAAAAACAGGAACGGGGAACCAGAAACCGGGAACTGGGGCTGCTGCAGGTGCTGGGTCGGAATCTGGGTCTGTAGAGCGGAGGAAGGACAACCTGAGGAGCAAGCAGACACACAAGGGAGCCCTAGACCCAGAGGTCAATGGTGGTACTTCCCTGTGGCCTGCTCGCTCCAGGTGAAGGTCTGATCTTTGGTCCCTCCTCCATGCTTCTTCCAGTGTTCTGGTGCTGGGTCTGGTACTGGTGCTGGGTCTGGTACTGGAACTGGGTCTGGTGCTGGAACTGGGTCTGGTGCTGGAACTGGGCCTGGTGCTGGGTCTGGTACTGGAACTGGGTCTGGTGCTGGAACTGGGTCTGGTGCTGGAACTGGGTCTGGTACTGGAACTGGGCCTGGTGCTGGAACTGGGCCAGTTGCTGGAACTGGGTCTGGTACTGGAACTGGGCCTGGTGCTGGAACTGGGCCAGTTGCTGGAACTGGGTCTGGTACTGGAACTGGGCCTGGTGCTGGAACTGGGCCTGGTACTGGAACTGGGTCTGGTGCTGGAACTGGGTCTGGTGCTGGAACTGGGTCTGGTGCTGGAACTGGGTCTGGTGTTGGAAC